GTTGTTGTTTCTATTTTGCTTTTTTTTGACCTGATAGCATCTGGCAAAGGGACTACCAATGAAAACTAGCCTTTGGGCTAATTTGGGTACATTTACATTTACTTTCATTCATTGATTAATGTACACTATCCCTTTTCTGTGAAATAAATCAAGATTATTTTTCCAACCCCATTGGCAGAAATTCTTGTTTTAAGCAAAAACTCACTTAAGTGATGCATTTTTCTGAATCTTATGTCATTTTGCGTCAAGTACATGTATCTTGATTCAAAAAAAGTTTGTACCAGAAAACAAGACAGAAATGCAAAGAAAATCGTTTTTTGCAGTACAAATAAGAACACGAATATAAATACCATTATAGACGTTTACCCAACTATGACGGCTTCTGAGAACCCTGGAGAGGTGAAAAGAGTCTCTGTGAATCTAAAAGGGACAGTTCACCCAAAAATTAAAAATTCTGTCATTACTCACCCTCATGTCGTTCTCTACACGATGAAGGTCTATAAACGTAGCAAGGAGATCGGTAAAATAATCCATGTGACATCAGGTGTTCAACGGTAATTTTATGAAGCTACGAACCCCTGATGTCACATGGATTATTTTACCGATCTCCTTGCTACGTTCCTGAGCCTTGATCGTGTAAGGATCCTTGCTGTCGATGGAGGGTCAGAGAGCTCTCAGATTCAATCAAAAATATCTTAATTTGTGTTCCGAAGATGAACGAAGGTCTTGCGGGTTTAGAACGACATGAGGGTGAGTAATTAATGACAGAATTTTCATTTTTGGCTGAACTATCCCTTTAACATGATTGATGGTCATACCTGAAGGAGGTTAAATGCCTCTCCGTCTCTTCCTCAGGTCAAGCACTTGACGCGGGACTGGAGAACCACGGCGTACGCCTTGCGTCACTCCGAGCTGCTGGAGCTGAACGATGAGGGCCGTAAGGTGCGACGCAGGACGACGGTGCCGGTGTTCGCCAGCGAGTCTCTGCCGAGTCGCATGCTGCTGCTGAGTGAGCTCAAGCGCTGGCCGGAGCTGGTAGTCGCGCTCGGGGGCTCGGGGCCGCAGGAGCGGCTGATGGAGCTCCTGCTGAAAGCATTCGGAAACTACGGGTCCATCGCCTCTGTACGGGTTTACGGGTTCGGGAAGGACTTGCCGGCCGATCTGAAGAAACTGAGTGGGCGTTACTCTCAGCTGGGAACGGAGGAGTGCGCCATAGTGGAGTTCGAAGAAGTGGAGGCGGCGATGAAGGCCCACGAGGCGGTCGGTGGAGAAGGAGGTGCGTCTTTGGGATTAAAGGTCGTTCTAATTGGCACCAAGCCTCCCAAGAAAAAGGTCCCGAAGGACCGGTCGCGGGACGAGGGAGTCGGCGGCATGCGCAAGAGTCGCTCGCTCAACAGCCGCGTTCGAGAGTTGCAGTATCACGGCGACGACTCCGCGGCGAGTTCCTCGGAAACCGAAAGCAATCCCACGTCGCCGCGTTTGGCACGCAAGTCGCGCTCCTGCAACAAGCTCAGCCCCACCATTGTAGTTCCCAACCACCTGAGTCCGGTGGTGTCTCCTCGATCCAGTCCCTGGAGCAGCCCCTGCACCCAGCGCAAGACGCACCACTCGGGGAAGTTTCCGCTGGTCAGCGAGGGCCGCTTAAGCCCCGAGCCGGGTCGCCGATGGGCGGACTATTCCTCGGACAGCAGCTTGACCCCTTTGGGAAGCCCTTGGGTCCAGCGGAGGAAGCAGGTGGCCAGTCAGGAGAGCAGCCCGGTGGGAAGCCCGATGCTCGGGAGGAAGATCCAGAACGCAGATGGGCTTCCCCCAGGTGTGGTTCGGCTCCCGAGGGGTCCGGATGGGACAAGAGGCTTCCACTCTTGCTTTTTTTTGACCTGATAGCATCTGGCAAAGGGACTACCAATGAAAACTAGCCTTTGGGCTAATTTGGGCACATTTACATTTACTTTCATTCATTGATTAATGTACACTATCCCTTTTCTGTGAAATAAATCAAGATTATTTTTCCAACCCCATTGGCAGAAATTCTTGTTTTAAGCAAAAACTCACTTAAGTGATGCATTTTTCTGAATCTTATGTCATTTTGCGTCAAGTACATGTATCTTGATTCAAAAAAAGTTTGTACCAGAAAACAAGACAGAAATGCAAAGAAAATCGTTTTTTGCAGTACAAATAAGAACACGAATATAAATACCATTATAGACGTTTACCCAACTATGACGGCTTCTGAGAACCCTGGAGAGGTGAAAAGAGTCTCTGTGAATCTAAAAGGGACAGTTCACCCAAAAATAAAAAATTCTGTCATTACTCACCCTCATGTCGTTCTCTACACGATGAAGGTCTATAAACGTAGCAAGGAGATCGGTAAAATAATCCATGACATCAGGTGTTCAACGGTAATTTTATGAAGCTACGAACCCCTGATGTCACATGGATTATTTTACCGATCTCCTTGCTACGTTCCTGAGCCTTGATCGTGTAAGGATCCTTGCTGTCGATGGAGGGTCAGAGAGCTCTCAGATTCAATCAAAAATATCTTAATTTGTGTTCCGAAGATGAACGAAGGTCTTGCGGGTTTAGAACGACATGAGGGTGAGTAATTAATGACAGAATTTTCATTTTTGGCTGAACTATCCCTTTAACATGATTGATGGTCATACCTGAAGGAGGTTAAATGCCTCTCCGTCTCTTCCTCAGGTCAAGCACTTGACGCGGGACTGGAGAACCACGGCGTACGCCTTGCGTCACTCCGAGCTGCTGGAGCTGAACGATGAGGGCCGTAAGGTGCGACGCAGGACGACGGTGCCGGTGTTCGCCAGCGAGTCTCTGCCGAGTCGCATGCTGCTGCTGAGTGAGCTCAAGCGCTGGCCGGAGCTGGTAGTCGCGCTCGGGGCCGACGGCGAGCAGGAGCGGCTGATGGAGCTCCTGCTGAAAGCATTCGGAAACTACGGGTCCATCGCCTCTGTACGGGTTCTCAAACCCGGGAAGGACTTGCCGGCCGATCTGAAGAAACTGAGTGGGCGTTACTCTCAGCTGGGAACGGAGGAGTGCGCCATAGTGGAGTTCGAAGAAGTGGAGGCGGCGATGAAGGCCCACGAGGCGGTCGGTGGAGAAGGAGGTGCGTCTTTGGGATTAAAGGTCGTTCTAATTGGCACCAAGCCTCCCAAGAAAAAGGTCCCGAAGGACCGGTCGCGGGACGAGGGAGTCGGCGGCATGCGCAAGAGTCGCTCGCTCAACAGCCGCGTTCGAGAGTTGCAGTATCACGGCGACGACTCCGCGGCGAGTTCCTCGGAAACCGAAAGCAATCCCACGTCGCCGCGTTTGGCACGCAAGTCGCGCTCCTGCAACAAGCTCAGCCCCACCATTGTAGTTCCCAACCACCTGAGTCCGGTGGTGTCTCCTCGATCCAGTCCCTGGAGCAGCCCCTGCACCCAGCGCAAGACGCACCACTCGGGGAAGTTTCCGCTGGTCAGCGAGGGCCGCTTAAGCCCCGAGCCGGGTCGCCGATGGGCGGACTATTCCTCGGACAGCAGCTTGACCCCTTTGGGAAGCCCTTGGGTCCAGCGGAGGAAGCAGGTGGCCAGTCAGGAGAGTAGCCCGGTGGGAAGCCCGATGCTCGGGAGGAAGATCCAGAACGCAGATGGGCTTCCCCCAGGTGTGGTTCGGCTCCCGAGGGGTCCGGATGGGACAAGAGGCTTCCACTCATCTCCCTCCGGAGAGCGAGACAAGGCTGCATCCACGCAAACCTGCCTCTAAAGACCGTCCCTCTCGACCCTCGCACTCTCAAAGCAGTCGTGACATCTCCGTAGGACTGACCTGTCTTTTGTAACACCTTTTTTCTATATGCCATTTTTGTTGACGTTTTATACATCTTAATTTCTCGCTGAATGATGGCATCACAAGGGAAGCTGTTCTGAAAGTGTTTGAGTTTTAAATTCTGACTCGTGTAAATGGATTCTGTGTGGCTCAGGCGTTCGGATGTGATCTCGGCCTTTCTGACGACGCCGCCGCCGTGATCCCGGGAGCTGGAAATATATTTAGTTTTATTTGCTTTAACTTCCGTTTCGTTTCTGTCTTCGGACATGCTTCTCATTTTAGTGCTTTACAGATCAGATGGGACCCGTTTTTTTTGTTTCGTTTCTCTGTTCTTCAGGTTGAGTCCTCTCTGTGAAAGAGTGTTTGAGGTTTCTGTCCTGAGCACAAATGCCTCGTATCTGCCTTCAATCTGGGTTTAGGCGATGCACCGTCTGCTTCCTTACTGTACAAATAAATCACTACAATCGCAGTTATCTGGGGTATTGCTCATTTCTTCAGATACAATATTGTCTTGCTTTTGGCCATTTTGTTTTGCATTTGTTGCCCTTCAGATTTCATGCAAATCAGTGGCTCTCTGCTGCACTCGGATTGAATTATTGTACAAAATATGCACCAAAAATGTATTAATGTTACAATCAACTGCATAAGCCCAACAATATGCACAAGTATGGTTATGTAAATGCATTAACGGCAGAAGTGTGAGTTACCAGTCTAACACATTGAACAAACACTGGGCTAAATATTGTATTTGCATGCGTCTTATTACCAAGTGACAGATTAATCAGTGCCAAGAGTTTGACTCGATTCTTTGGCATCAAACAAACACTCAGATGCTTTTCCTCTTGTGCATTTACACTGTCCTACACCGCTGCATTCAGTAGAAAAAAACATCAAAATATACATTTTCATTGCACTTTATCTGTAGATTAAATTCCAATTCAAAACCGAGTTTTTTCTTTTACACACACACACACACCAAACTTTAGTTTTACTCTCATCTATTCTGAATGTTACACATTTTATTCCTAAAAAAGGTTAAAAAAAAAGATATATATTTATGTATGTTTACGGTATTTTCTATGGAAGCTTGTTTCCTGCCACAGAATAAAAATAAAGGTATTTGCAGCATTTTCTCTCGCAGTTCAGACTTTTTTCTCGCAATTCTCATGAAAAAACACAAAGTAATTCAGTAAACTCAGAATTCTGAGAAAAAAGAATTGTGAAATATAAACTTGCAATTGTGAAAAAAAAACGTTTTCTATAAATTCTATAAAAACTAAATTCTATAAAATAAAATAATAAAAGATGACAATTGCAACTTTAGCTCACAATTCTGATTCTTTCTCAGATTTTTTTTTTTTGTGAGAATTGCGAGAAAACTGTCTGAATTGTGAGATAATAAGTCACAATGACCTTTTTCATTTTTTTATTCCCTGGCAGAAACAAACTTCCATAATTTTCAGATTTATGGAGTCATAAAACGATAAATCCCTCTGATAAAACCTTTAATATATCAACAAATTCAAACATTTTGTACCTGGCTTCAAATTTTCACCTGAATGTGTGAAGAATACTGACAGATAAAGCCAAACACAGGTGAGCACCGTCATCAGCCTCACTCATATGTGACCCTGGAGCACAAAACCAGTCATTAGGGTCAATTTT